CACACACACACACACTCTCTCTCTCTCACACATACACACACACCCTCACACACTCTCTCTCACTCACTCTCTCACACACACACACACACAGTCACACGCACACACACACACACACACACACACTCTCTCTCTCACACATACACACACACCCTCACACACTCTCTCTCACTCACTCTCTCACACACACACACACACAGTCACACGCACACACACACACACACTCTCTCTCTCACACATACACACACACCCTCACACACTCTCTCTCACTCACTTTCTCACACACACACACACACTGTCACACGCACACACACACACACTCTCTCTCTCTCACACATACACACACACCCTCACACACTCTCTCTCACTCACTCTCTCACACACACACACACACTGTCACACGCACACACACACTCTCACACACGCACACACACACCGGCATTTTGAGAGGGTATTGGCAGGAGCTGGGGGAGAAACAGCTTTGGAAACAGGGACAGAGTCACTCTGCCTGATGCTACTTCCCAATCGAGGCATTCCTTCCAAGAGAGGAGGCAGTTTGGTCCCCTTGGTGACCATTAACAGGAGAGAAGACAAGGGGACCAGCTTCAATCCTGGTGCCACCCAGCAGTCAGGTCGTTGGCAGGCAGGGAGCTGAGATGTACCACCTTACGTAGATTGAGAGCAGTGTGAGGTGGCATTACCTGTGTCTGAGTGAGCACCCTGCGTGCTGTACGGTGGATGCTGCAAGTCGAGCCAGTAAGAGCTTCGTTCCCTGCGTGGCCTGCGATGAGGCGGTGCAGAATTCCTCTCGAGTCGCTGAGAGCGGGCTACGCTCTCCTCCCAAGAGAGAGGTGATGGAGATTCATCTCCCAAGCGTGCGTCTGCTGGGAAACGGGGCGGGGATTGACCAGACTCAGGAAGGTCGGGCTGATCGGAGAAGTCAGGTCAAACTGCAGGCCGTCGGGTTTAAAGAGAATCCCTGGGCGAGGGCTCTGAAGCGCACGCTGCTGAGACTCAGGAAAGGACTGGTTTGATTTATTGCTGTCACGTGTGCCTCAATACAGTGAAAAGTTTTGTTTTTGCGTGCAGTATCGTAGCAGACAAAGTGCATTAGGGTAATAGAAGGGAGCGAGGAATACAGTGTCACAGCTGCAGAGAAGGTGCACAAAGAACAAAAACAACATTAAATTTAAAATCTGAGAGGTCCGTTCACAGGTCGAAGAACAGCGGGGAAGAAGCTGATCTTGAATCTGTCGGTGCGTGTGTTTAAGCTTTTGTATCTTCAGCCTGATGGAAGAGGGTGGAAGAGATTATAACCAGGGTTGGCGGGGTGGGAGGGGTCTTTGATAATGTTGGCTGCCTTCCTGAGACAGCAGGAAGTGTAGGTGGAGTTAATGGATGGTAAGTTGGTTTGTGTGACGGTCTGGGCTGTGTTCACAACTCTCTGTGGTTTCTGGTCCAGCAGAGCCGTTGCTGTACCCTGCGATGCAACAGGTAGAATGCTTTCTGCGGGGCACCTTACAAAAGTTGGTGAGAGTCCTCGTGGACACGCTGAATGCCCTTAGCCTCCTGAGGGAGTAGAGGCATCACCGCGCTTTCTTGTAGGGAGGACACTGGGAATGTCGTGGGATGTGGGTGCCACCATTTCCGATCTGCCTCGGTCTGGGGGACTGTCACCGGGTCAGCGGGTGTGTAAGGTCAGGTTTCCAACTCTGTCCCTCTGAGTGCAGCGGCAGGGCTGCCTCCCTTACTGTTGAGTGACCCGCAGTTTCTTGTCTCGCCAGTGGAAAGTCTGCACTCAGCCCTGAGGAACATTGAGCGGAATGACATTGTGAGCATGCTAGAGGGCTCCAATCTCAACAGCCAGACCCTCAACAGAGGCAAGAGAAGGCAAGGCGAGCGAGATCACAGCCTGTCTCCTGCTGTCAATGGTAAGCTGAAACTCCGTCTCTGTTACTGCCCAGAGCCCAGCGTCGGTCCCAGCTCCCCACTCACGGGCTTGGGATTCACATCATGGCAGATCCTGATCCAGGGGTCCGCAGGGAGTCTTTGAGAGCTGGCTGGGGAAGGAGGTACTCAGCACAGTGTGTACCCTCTCTGTCCCGAATGCATTGCCAATCTCAACAAGCAGCACGGCACGGTGGCTCAGCAGGTAGTGCCTGCTGCCTCACGGCGCCAGGGACTCGGGTTCGATCCCACCCTTGGGCGACTGTCTGTGTGTGGAGTTTGCGCGTTCTCCCCGTGTCTGCGTGGGTTTCCTCCGGGTGCTCCGGTTTCCTCCCACAGTCCAAAGATGAGCAGGTCCGGGAGGTTGGCCGTGCTAAATTGCCCCGTAGTGCCACAGGAATTCCATTGCCAGGAATGGTGCAGGTTAAGTGGATTGGCCATGGGCAATGCAGGGATAGGAGAGCGGGAGTGGGTCTGGGTGGGGTGCTTTTCAGACGGACGAATGTGGACTCAATGGGCTGAATGGCCTGCTGCCACACTGTGGGAGTTCTGTGAAGCAGCAGTGCCTTTCCAGTGTTTGGGGTCTTGTCTCCCATCCCGATCCTGCTTGCACACAACGAGGTGCCTACCCTCTGGATTGGCCACAGTGCATCTGAGCACGAGCCCGAGCCCCTGGCCCGTGTGGGCAACATGCGTGTGCCAGTCCCAGCTTGGCAAGTCAGAACGAAGGATGATTTTGGTGCTGGTCCCAACCAGCCCCAGCCCTTATGCAGTCTCTGGCTCCGATTAACCCCAGTCAGGGTAAGCCACCTGGGTAAGACAGAAACCAGGTCAGTGCGTAACTAGCTGCTAGATTGGCTGGGTAGAATGTGGCGATGACAGAATAAAAAAAACACTGTTTCAGGGAGATGTGTGATCTTGTTAAATAATAATTTAAAAAAGCAGAAATGTCATTGACTGTATTTGCAGCTGGGACTTCATGCAGCGAGTGATATATGAACACCTCGACCGCAAGTCGTCGAGAAACATGACGTTAATGTCCCTTTTAGCTCCTAGCTGTGCTGTTTAGCAAAGTTTCAGCCTGACGACTGGTCACTCCAACTGATCTAGACTGCTCCCTTCTGTCAGCCACAACCACTGCTCCCAATCCCAGCTTAGCCCCAATGTCGGGAAGTTAGACTCTTTACTGTTCTGTGCTCCCTCAAACTTTTGCTTCCGGTTGCCACAAGGTTTAGCGGTCGCAACTTCCTATCGGCTCGCTCAAACTCTGACCTCTGATACCACGGCGATATCTCGTGTTGTGCCATGCCCCTGCTCTGAGTGCTGACTGCCTCCAGCTCTCGGCTGCCCAATCTGGGTTGTGTTTTCCCGAGGGAATGACGGAAGACTGGGTCAGATTCCCAAACGGAGCCGGAGACAGGGGGTTGGGAGGAGGGGGACGCCTTGGAGGTCCTCGGGAGGTTTCTGAATTGCCTTGGCCTTGTCTTTTAGCGTCTTTTTCCCGTTTCTGTACAGATTATATCATGGCACTGCCTCCTCAACGCCATTTGCTTGGCGCAGGCCCACTCAGGACACGGTGGTGCAGAGGTAGTGTCCCTGCCTTTGAGCCAGGAGGCCTGGGTTCAAGTCCCACCTGCTCCAGAGGCTGTGCAGTACCATCTCTGAGACTCAGGACGAGTGGCTGGGAGCATGGTGCAGGAGACAGAGGGTGTGCAGCCTAAGGGAGAAGTGACGAGATTTGGTGATTGGTGCTAAGGGCTTTGTAGGCATGACCGTCGATTGTAGACATATGGGAGCCGGAGATGCAGGAGAGACAGGAAAGCATCAGTCTCAGGAGGTTGTCGGCTTGGTGGATGGCACAGGGGTAGGGAGGTGCCCTGGGGAACAGCAGGAATGTTTGGCTTGGTGCCAGGAGGTGGGGGAATGAGTCAGGTTGTTTTCTGGAGGAAGGAAGGTGGGGAGCAGAGCAAGGGAAAGGATGGAGTCCAGAGCAGGACAGCGCAGGGTGGAAGTTGTTGGGGTTGGGGTTGGGGGTTGGGGGTTGGGGGTCGGGGTCGGGGTTGGGGTAGATTTATTTCACCTGGTATTAGGCATCCCATCAGTCAAACTGCCAATCACCAGCCTGCTTGGGTATCGTCACCATGCCAACGCATATTCCAAACCCCCCCCCCCCACCTCCCCACAAGGTGATGGTGGCCATTAGTGTGGTGGGTTGGCATGGTCTCCCATTCTCCATGGTGCTGAGAGGGTGGGCTTTCTCCCCTGGCTATCTGTGTCGGATTTATTCTCCCAATCCCACACACAATGCCCTCCATCATCTCCTGAGGAACGCTCTGAGATATGCCATGCGTTCGGTGAAGATCCTTGCTGGAGCCTTGAGCGTTGATTTGCATGTGCCTGAATTCTGCTTTCAAATGAACGTCTGTTTTTTTTTGGGACTGGGGGTAGGGGGAATTGTAGGCGATCCCTTTCTCAGCCTGGGTTACACAGCACATCCCCGTACAACAGGGCAGGCCCCTGTTGGGGTCACCTGAAGACCAGTGGAGCTCCCCGTTTCACTGCTGAACCTCCACCAGCGTCTCGAGACTGAGACCACATTGGCACCCAGCCGGGTTGGTGTCCCCACACAGTTTAACCTCCATTCCCGTCCCCACCGCACCCCCCCACCCAACCCCGACACTCCCCATCCCTCCTCTGGCCA